ATATATATATATATATATATATATATATATATATATATATATAATTACATAAGAATAATAGAAATACCTAAGTATATGTCCAAGATAAAGTAAATATCCTGGCACGCTACATTCTGCGTAATTCCGGCGGACGCCATTTAAAATTTGTCTAGCAGCTTCTGCAGCAGATATTGTACCAAAATAACTTGGCAATCTGTAAAAAATATTTTAAGCATTTACAGATTAAGAGAATACACACAACTTATGTACACAACAATATTAGTGAAAGGAAAAGTTTTTTTAAATTTAATGTATATGGTTGAGAATATGTTATACCTAAAACGTATATCTTTGACTACTTCTGTTCCAATGATGAATGGATAAATATGGATTAATGTAACAACGATATTTTTATATAAATGCCTTAAATCCATAAGCAAGGATTCAGCTAATCCTTGAACTGCAAATTGTGCAGTCGATAATGGGATTCTACTCCTACCACTGGCTCCACTGGAAAGTCCAGCCACAGAAGATAAAATTGTAATGTGTCCTCTACCAGCACGTTGCATACATGGCAAAACTGCATCTAATAACTATAAAAGTAATATTATTTGTACTTAGATCACAAAAGTTTATGCTTTATAACATTTATTAAAATAATTCTTACCCAAAAATAACTAATGACAGATAAGTCCATAGTAGCACTTATACCTAGCGGTTCCTCTATCAATGCACGTGGACTAGGCAATCCACAGCAATGAAAGAGCATTGTAATATCTCCTAATTGGTCTTTAATAAGATTTACTGTATCAATAACCTATTCAATTTTGATTAGTGCAGGTATATATATATCATTGTGGTCTAGAAATAGAAACACAATTGAGTATAAGTAAATAATATAGGTACCGCATTATTGTTCCTCACATCACATTGGTATCTTTTGCATTTCCCATGTAACTGTAGGGCACGTTGTACAGTAGCATTGCAACTATCAACATTAATATCCACACAAGCAACTGTGACACCAAGTTGACACAAATGTAAAGCGAGTTCCCTACCTACTCCACTTCCTGCACCTACAACCTAAATTATAAATTATATTTGTTATAAGTTCCACGATTTCTGTAATAAATAACAAACAATTGGAATATTACCATAGCAACTTCACCATAGAGATTTTTCAGCGGCTTTGGTCTAAAAATTCTATAAATTGAAGTCAAGATTATGTAGCATATTTTGATAAAGAGCATCACGAGATCCATCGTTAGGACGAACACGGAATATATTCTCAACAACATCTTCGGTAACTGAGTATTCTTCAATGTTTCTCTATAGAAGCAAATGTAAAACACATAAAACGTTTTCGCATCACACGATTACTTAAGAAGCAGAGAAAATGATTTCATGAAAAAAACAAAAGCATTGTAACACAGGCTATTTTTTACGTATCATCTTCAGAATTATCCATTACATCTAACGAGATAAACGTTGCGAATATCGCAGAAAGAGTTTTTAAATGAAGCGTGCATCGACGACATGTATCTTAATATCAAGCGAAGTTAAAATCGTTACTTATCGATAACGTATCATGCTATCAGCCAGAACATTATCAAATTCTTCATTATTACCAAAATTTCAATTGAATCGATGACACTGACGACAACGAACGTACTTACGATTTGAACAGAGTCATTTGTACACGCAATATGAAATATGTTTCTATTATATACACTGTTTGCTTAGAATCTATCTTCTTTCTGTTCTCTTCTCATTTACCCTCCAATATCTAAATACACATTTATTTTACTTTTAATGCTTTTAAAAAATATTATTAAATGTCTGTTTTTTTACAGTTGTACTAAGTTAATTTCGTGTATCCAAAATATAGAATAGTTATATATTTAAAGTTTAATAGAAGAGAATGGTAAAGAAGTACAGAGAGTGTAGCTAAAAGAAACAGTTTTATACTGTAGGTTTGGTTATATAATTACATCTATTATAATATTTATTCTTTTGATTGTGCAACTTTCCTCGTTCTCTCTCCATTGCGCCAAATCTCATATATATGCAACCATCTCATTTTAAATACGGAAAGTGAGTATAACTGTACGATTAAAAAGGACAGATGTATATATATTTATGAACATAAAGGTTATGTATATTACGCTTGCGCACATTTGAGACTGCACCTATTTCTCACCATTTCTCACTACGAAAAGGAATGTTGTGCAAGTAATCATCAACTACATTAGCGACTTTACGGAGAATTCGATAAAAATGTGGTACGAAATAATTCCATCGTTGTTAATAATAGGTATGGTACCTGTTGTACCTCAACTGTTTGCCAGTTTAGTCAACAATTATTTTTTGGGAAATGTAAGTATCCGACTTTCATCATAACCTAGTCTAGTCTAACTTTTCCTTCAATTTTCGAGGATTAGAGTTTGGAAAAGATTAAAAAAAGATATTAGAAGAAAAGAGAACAGTGTATCAAATGGTCATAAATATCCTCAGGAAAAGCTAAAAGCACGATGACGTAATCACCAAACAAGAACGAAAAGGTTCCTTCAATTTTCAATGATTAATTCTTTCTTCATAATGGTTTAATGTTTTTATTATAAAATTATACGTATGAACATTCTGTAACTCGACTTACAAGCAATTATATAAATTGTTGGAAGTTCAATTTTACTACTGATGTTTGTTCTTATGCTTGATATTATTAGTAAGATTTAAGAGAAATTATTTAGAAAAGAAATATATATATATATATATATATATATATATATATATATATATATATATATTGATTTTTCTATGTAAAATTCTGCTATTATTTTCTTAACTTTCTTTTTACAGTCAATGCGTAGAGACATGAGAGACATATGGGATCGCCATATGTTTACACGAGATAGTCGTATAGATGGAGCACCATGGAAAAATAGGGTAATTTATCAAAACATATAAGAATTTATGTATATAATATTTAGAAAGTATAACTTATCTCATATGTTCTGCTTATGTCATCAATACAAAAGAATTTGCATATATATAAGTATTGTTCACTTATTATGTATGTTTTTATAGGGACTACAGAATATTCCTGATGACTAAGAGTACAAATATAAAATAATACATCGCAGTATATGGTACATTATGCAGATACAGATTAATGGTAGATATGGAATATGTATAAGTTATCATCTTGTATTTATATAAAACAATTGAAATATATATTACATGTATGTAAATATGTATACATGATACTTAACATTAAAATATGTTTTATTTTCAGTCTTTTACTTTTGAGAATATCAGACTATAATTATGGGTTCTATAGGTGCTAGCAATTAATTCCTTATTAACGAAAAACGAGTAGTCTCGAATTAACTAATAATTCCTGTATATATAGCTATATGATACTGTATTGTACGCTTATCATATGATACTAGAACATTAATGTTTGCAAAAGTGAAAAGTAAATTTAATGTATTTTCTGTCATATATATATATAAATAATAGTTATTACGTATTTTTATATTTCCATCATGTTCTTGTATCGAGTATGTGTACTTACTAATTTAACACTTGCTAACTTTTACTTACTAATTTAACACTTGCCAAAAATATTATGTTTTTTATATAACAAAAGTGCATTTTACAAAAAACAACATATAACGTAATTGTTTTTAGATTTTGCTAATAAATTACGGCGAATCAATTAACCAAATTATAAAATTATATTTGCAACGAATCGTAATTCACAATGGAGTAGATTTGCCTTTTAAGATAGGGAAAGTTGCGGACGATGATAACGTTACCTTTATCCTAGGGTCTCGAGTTGAGTTAGGTTAGGTTAGGTTATGCTACTTGCCTAAGCGTTTTGTGAATAGTTTCATATGTGTGCGTCGTATGTATGCGTACAAATGTGTGCGCTATTGATAAGATAAATGGTAGTTCCGTGTGGAAATTTTGCTTCTTGAGATAGTCGGTATTTCCAAAGAACATGTAATTAGCATTATTGTCGTAATGTAGTACCTTAAACACATATCGAGTTAACATACGTACAGTTTAGGGCTTTAGGTAAATAAACGGGGTATCTCTCCTGCGTATTTAGGACGAAGCCTGAATCAAGCACTTGACAGGCTTCACCGAGATGTTTGAGAGATGCTAACGCGTAATTAATATTGACTCGCGTCGGAATATCATGTTTACACGATATTCTCGATGCGATACGTTCATATTTATTCGTTGCAAATGCAAACGTTTGATATACATCCATATTTACGCCGCTTTAACAGTGCACTTGTACAGCAATATTTCGTGTCTGGCAATTTTCGTTCAATGAGTTATAGCTCACACAGTCGTGTGCTATTTACAGATCATGATTTACGATCCCGAAGCGAATAAGAAGCGAGAATGAAGGTTCGAGAAATTGTAGAGGAAAATGGTTTTTCAATTTTATAAAAGCATAATGTATACCAAGAGTTTCTCGTTTTAAATAATCGTGTTAACAGAGAATTAACATATTATCATAGTATCATTGACATAGTATCATTAACATATTAAGCTTTCATTGGCGGACAATCAAGTGTATTAATTTTTGTCGAGAACCTGTCATTTCAAGAATGACAGGCGATTTTGAGATTTCCCGTTTTAACTCGTGGGCCGTCAGAGTTACTTTTAAATTAATTAAGAGTTAATTTCCTCGTGATAGCAATGTTAGTACTTATACGACAGTTTTAAAATGTACGTTTAAAAAATCTTGCTTCAAGAATCGCGTGAAGCAAACGTGTGCCAAGGAAAAACCTTTCAACTTACTGATATTTAGACCACGTGGAGAAGTCTTGTGGGAGGGACGTTCTTACCTTAGACGTGACATCGCGATAGCTTTGCGTTGTAAATATGTATGGAAGCGAACTTAATAGAAAAGTGGATGTCGTAGTAAATGTATCAGTGAAAGTGACGTATCCCTCGGTATTCATTATTTGAGCAACAAGTGTGTCAGTGGAGAGATTCAAGCTAGCCACGTTACTTCGTTGCGATAAACTTTGACACGAGGTCTATGGACCGACGCGGAATAATCGTCGACAGGAATAAAAGAGTTGCATACGTTAAAGTAGATAACATTAAAAAATGCGCTTTCGACAGACTTAATCATTTGCGAGTTCGTTCAAAATCACAAATGTATGTAGACGCAATCGTCATTTACGATACGACGATCGCGGTCGACCGAGATTTAAAACAGCGGAGCCTATCCGTAAGGAAACTCTCGCAGAACCGGCCGCGCTGGGTGACGAATTAAAAAATTAATGACATTTTCCCAAAGTAACCGTTGTCGCGTATTGTCTTGGGTACGCTTACGCGAAATGAAAATTCTTGGTTCGCAAGACTGTCGGGTAGGGAAGCAACCGGCAGCGGAGGGTATCCCCCGTCAGGGAATTCTTCTTTCTCCACGCGCGTAGTAAAGCGCGTTTCGCTATTCATTTTCTCGGCACGTTCGATAGGCGCGGAGGGCGGCGAAACATTCGCCGAAATTTTCACCGCTTCAGGTAAAACTCTCGCGCGGCGAGGGAACTAAAGTTTCAGATACGCGGAATGGGTAAGCCTAAGGCTGATATTACATGCGTCGTACGACAAGTATTGTCGAACGTGTCGATTGACTGATGGATAGAATTCTCCTAAAGTCCTTAACTTTTTTTTCCCTAGAAATTCACTATTCGACAGCCAATTAGAGCGACCGACAAGTTTGTCGTATGACACATGTAATATTAGCCTAATAAGTTAGCCTTTGTTGTCGTCGCGATGCCCCAAAGACCACAGGAATGCACGGATCGACCGGGTATGGGGATGACTTTTTCTGAACAAAAGAAAAAGAGATTTCAACGCCTCTCACACCATACAATGTTTCGGTGCAATTTCTACCACGCGGTTTCATTTCCATCTGTCCGTGTATCAGCACGCGGAATAATCGGCGATATTTAAGCCGGCTAATCGGTCGGTGTTAATTAACACAAATCCACGAATTTACGATCGATCGACTCGAAAAGCGATAATTGCGCAGTGTTTTTCGATGCGCTTACGTCGCAAACAATATCTGCATTGTCGCTCTCGACGGGTATTTAATCGAGATTGACATTGGACGATTGTGCGAACGGGAACGAGCGCTGTAATAGTACGCGAGCCTCAAGACACTACAGAAAGAAATCAATTACGTCTTGCAATTACAAAGAGTATCGCACCCTCGAATCGACCTTCTCGAACTCGTTATTGGCTCGTAAAAGGCTTCCAAAAAACATTAAAGTCAGCAGGGAACTGGCAAAGCCAACAACGTACCCATCCCCGAAAGAATGTATTATTCATGCCTCTGTGCGAAGTCCTCTAAGGAAAGTCCCCGCGGAAACGTTCTCGTTTCGACTCGTCATACAGTCGAGAATTTATGATCTCTCAACAAGTATCCAAAAGCGCGTCACAAAAGTACGATCACGATATCAATGTCTTTGAAGTAGTGCTCGCACTAATGTCTGATATTTTCAATTGAGTCAATTTGCAAACAGATCAATTCCACGCATCATCGTCAGAAACAAAGGAAAAATCGATTCTGCTAATTCTTTGCGCGAAGTGGAGTCCGATTATTAGTATCGATTATTTACGATGTTCTCGTCCATATAACTCGCCATACGAATGCCTCTGCAGTATCAGTACAGTCTCTATGTGTTTCGTAATCTTGCTCGGTTATTATTAACGACATAATAAAATATGATGACTTACACGCGGCGTCTGTGGCTTTCGGCAACAATGCGCGACTCGTAGGAAAAGCGTAAGCTGTAAATCCTGCTTCCGCCTCCTGTACTCTATAAATCACGAGAGAATGCACAATACCTGAGTAAAATCGACGGAACGTCCCATGCGTTGCAACATTAATCTCAGACTACGATAAAGCGACATCACCTCGCGTCTTCGCGATTTTCGCGAGAGAGCTCGCAAGCGCGAATTTTTCGGAAATCGCGATTCAGTCTCGAGAGTGCCGGCGTCTCGATCAACGTTACGTTATTTCTGCCTTGGGAAATGGAACTTATCGATTCCTGCGTTCATCTGCCTACCTGAACGAGCGACGACGTCGTCGAATAATCACGTCTCTCCCTCTCTCTCTCTCTCTCTCTCTCTATTGCGTTACAAAATCTATAAGCGACGACAGACGTCGTTGTGTTAATCTTTTGCGGTCTGAATTATATGCATCGCCTGGAGCAGAGCAGCCGGTTCGTATTCACTCGGCCATCTTTTTCGATGTTGCGTAATCTCTGTTTATCGTAGCAATTCTGTACATTTTCCGAACACGATAACCTACTTACAACAATGCATTAATATTTATTAATATATTCATGTAAAAAGGGAGAGAAATAATAATCTTGGCGTTGCTCATAATTTAGCGCGTCTACAAATTGTTGTAAAATTCGCTCGATCCTTTTGTCTTCGAGAATAAATTTTCAAGAGATTTTCACGCTAATTTTACGTAAACTCCATCTCAGTTATGGCCGAGAAATATTAATATACTTTCGCTATATTGAAATAGAAGAAGCATTTCAGTATCATAGCATTATTTGTACGCCTCGTTAGTAGTTAGGTAAACCAACCGTCTCTTTTGATCGTTACTGTAGTTTGGAGGTTTATTACTTGTCGCTTTATCTCCGCCGAAACCTCGGTGTGAAGTGCCTTCATTGTCAATTCCAATTCGAGAAAATCGTGGAAACCCCGGTATGCTCACGTACACCGTGCAAAGTTGCTCGACCTGCTTCTCAAACTTAGCGGCCAGCTTTTGCACTCGCCGTTTCCAACGCAAACGAACTCTGGTCCTTTTAGGCTACTGTTCAAACGATTCTACCTAGCTCACGCGGACGACAAAATTAACGGGAATGGTTGCGAAAAAACATGCAATTTTAAATTCCCACATTTAACCGTTCTGTGCCAACATTTGACCGTTCTGAATGTTTGCGAGAGTAACACTCGTCTCTGTTGGTCTCTACATTTCACTTTGCCAGGGTACATTTGAGAATTTCCTCGGAATTTATCCATGAGGTCATTCGTTTCAGCGACTTTTTTCCATCTGCGAGCGATCGCAGATCGCCTTTTTGTCCTCAACGGCGCTGTAAATCGTTAAAAACGTTAAAAAGTAGTCCTTTGTAAATCAAGATCTGTTGGAAGTGCAATCAGTACATACAGTGCAAAGATTAGCAAAAAAAAATATTTTTCAAATAAATTTAAGAATGATATTCAGCATGCGAAAATCCCTATGTGAAATTTCGCTGTTAAAACTCCCGACTAGGGAAATGATATTAAGATTAATGACAATATAAACTGCCTTTGAAGTAAATATTTTTCTTTCGAGGGACATGTGATACGAAACAGAGAGAATCGGCTAATTCACGTGGATATATCTACGTTGTTCGATTAAAGTTGAGTATTTTTTGTAAGCACGACCAATTTCCAGTTTGCGAACATGGATCTACATCCGCGAGATGGCTAGTGCCATCTCTGAAATCCACTTTCACGGATAAATGAAAACTTGCTGAACTTACATCTCATGCCACTTTGCATACATCTGAAAAGTTTCATGGAAATTAAAATTTCTCCGACAGCCAGTTCTACCGCGAAATTTCAATTGGCTCGCCGGAAACGCAGTTTCGGCTCTCGCGCTTTAATTAATGCGGCGAATCAAGATCGTATTATTAATGGATACCTCTTTACATAGAGCGCTTTTAAATTATCGTATTGTTAGATGATGTATAGCGTATTATTATCCGTTATGAATATCACGGAAGATTTATGAAAACATTCCTATACAATTAGTCGCTACGTTACGTACGTAACAGACATTATCATTGTGGAAGTAATCTATATTCTGCGATTAATACTAACGATAATTTGACAGTGTTAACAGTTGCAAAAAGATAAAAAAAGTAACATGCAGATACATTTTTATTTGATTGATTTAACATGTAAGACATAAACGAGTGTGTCTAATGGGATTTTATCAAAAGAAAAATCAGTCTCAATCCTATCGAGGTATTTGACAAGATGAATTGTATAATAATCACTTACAGCGAACATCAAATTCTAAGGAGACTTGTGTTAAAAGAAATTTCGACCTCCTATGATTTAATTTCACTATCGAATAATATATACTGAGGGAAAAATACTTGAAAATTTTATTTATTAAAATTATATTTATTATATTTTTTAAAATTTTTTTATTTTAGCGATGTAAAGTTTATTCACTTTATATCTCACAAATAAATGTTCAAGTATTTTTCTCAGTGTATCGTATACATACCTCTTTCTAATAATCTGATTTTTTTGCAGCAAAATAAAGAAAAATTCCTAATATAAATCCAGTCCTCTTCCTCTCTCTCTCTCTCTCTCTCTCTCTCTCTCTCTCTCTCTCTCTCTCTCT